ATTCTTTAATATGATCTTTGTTGGGTCCTGCAACCAACATGTCATCCACATACAACAGTAATATAACAAAATCGTTATCACCAGACCTCTTGAAATAAGCACAAGGGTCTGCATTAAGTCTGTTGTATCCAAGGCACATAATGAAGGAATCAAATCTCTTATACCAACACCTCGGCGCCTGCTTTAGACCGTACAGAGATTTGTTCAACCTACAAACCAAGTTCTTCTTTTCTTTTTCTTCAAAACCTTCAAGCTGGAACATGTAAATCTCTTCTTCAAGATTTCCATGAAGAAAAGCTGTTTTAAGATCTAGCTGCTCTAGATGTAAGTTCAATGTAGCACACATTGTCAAAACTACTCGAACTGTTGTTAGTCGAACCACAGGAGAAAATATTTCATTGAAATCAATATCTTCTTTTTGAGCATATCCTTTGACCACCAGTCTTGCACGATACCTCTTAACTTGATCATCACTATTTCGCTTGATTTTGAAGATCCATTTGTTACCAATTGGCTTCCTTCCTTGTGGTAGTGGCACAAGGTCCCATGTAATATTTTTATAAAGTGTTTCAATTTCTTCTTGCATCGCCATCATCCACAGTGAAGCATCTGAGTTGTTTATTGCCTCCTGGTATGTTGATGGTTCACCGTCCTCTGTTAAAAGACAGTATGCAATATTACCTTCTATAACATAATCTGAGTGTCAATTGGGACGTCTTCTCACATGATCTGATTGACGAGTTGTTGGAGCTTCAGAACTCTCTGGTTCTTGTTCATCATGTGCTGGTTCTGCTTCAGAAGAATCTCCTTGTTCAACCTCCTTTTCCATATGTATCTGTGTAGTCTCTGACTTTTCAGTGTTATCATCGTCTTCTTTTGTTTGTAGCTTATCTTCTACAAAGATAACATCCCTGCTAATGATCACTTTGCGGGCAGTGGGATCCCACAAGCGATACCCCTTTACTCCATTAGCATACCCCAAGAATTTGCATTTCCTGGATTTTGGATCTAACTTTGAAATTTCTTGGGCGTTGTACATCATGTACACAATACTTCCAAATACATGGAGGTTTGAATAATCAGCTGGTTTACCAGTCCACATCTCCATTGGTGTCTTCAGCTCTATTACAGTTGATGGAGCTCGATTCACCAAATAACAGGCAGTATTGACTGCTTCTGCCCAGAATGATTTTTCTAGGTCTGCATCCCTCAACATTGCTCTTGTTCTTTCTAACAAGATTATGTTCATCCGCTCTGCCACTCCATTTTGTTGAGGAGTGTTTGCCATTGTGAACTGTCTTTTGATGCATTCTTTCCTGCAAAAGTCATCAAATTCTTTACTTGTGTATTCTCCTCCATTATCTGTTATGAAACACTTGATCTTATTTCCAGAATCAAGTTCCACCCGCGCTTTGAAGTTTTTGAAAGTGGAAAACACATCTGACTTCTTCTTAATAGGGTACACCCAACATCTCCTGGAGTAGTCATCAATAAATGAGACAAAGTATTTTACTCCGCCTAGGGATGTAACTGGTGCTTGCCATACATCAGAGTGAACCAAGTCTAGAACACTTTTGGCTCTAGAATTTGACGTGTTGAATTTCAACTGATGCTACTTACTTGTTATGCAATGCTCACACAAAGGAAGTGATACATTTTTTAAACATGGAAGTAGTTTTTTCTCCACAAGGACTTTCATTCCTTGTTCTGACATGTGTCCAAGTTTCTGATGCCATAGCATTTCAGAATCTGAACTACATGAGGCAACAGAGGCTTCTGCTTCTAGCAAAGTTTCTCCCTTCAGCATATACAAGTTTGCAGCTATCTTTTCTCCTTTCAGCACCACAAGCGCTCCACGGAACACCTTCATGATTCATTTCCTTGTTTCAATCTTACTTGCATTATTATCCAACAATCCGTAGGATAATAAATTTTTCTTCAGGCCTTTCACGTGTCGTACACTCAAACAACTTTAATTGTTCCATCATACATCTTCAATTTGATGGTTCTCACTCCAATGATCTCTAATACATGATCATTGCAACTATACACAGATCCTCCTGAGATAGGTTCATAATGATGGAACCATTCTTTTCTTGAGGTCATGTGATATGTTGCTCCCGAATTAATGAGTCATATGTTTGCATATCTCTTTCTACCTTCTATGGTGGTTGACGCTTCACTGCATAGAGCATCTCCATCATCTGAAGTGTTTGCAGTATTGCCTTGTGGATTGGAGTTTTTATTTAGACTCCAACAATCCTTCTTCAAGTGACCCTTCTTTCCACAGTTGTAGCACTTTAAATTCTTCTTGCTTCTCGACTTCGATCTACCATGTTTGTAACTGCTGCTTTGGCCACGTTCTGTTGATCTCCCTCTCATCGTTGTCAACGCTTTTGCTTGTTGCAGATTTACTTGTATGTCTTCCTTGTTCTTGCGTCGATTTTCTTCTTGTAGAACAGCAGCTGCAACGTTATCGAAGACTAGAGTGGTGACATTACTGTTTGTCAAGTTGATGATGAATTGATCATACGAATCCGGTAGACTTTGAAGTAGAAGTTCGGCGTTCTTATTATACTATTTTACAACTTAAGGATGTAAGATAAGAAAATAAAGTGTTCAGTGTGTTTAAGTGCTCTGTCACTGAAGTAGATTCTGACATCCGGAGAGTGTACAATTTCCTCTTAAGGAAAATTTTATTGTGCAACGATGTGGCCTCGTACAATTTGGTGAGATGATCACATATCTCCTTAGCTGTCTTCTTCTCCTCGATGCTTGACAATACTTCATCTGCTAATGCTAGATGAAAGTTTGCCATAGCATTCCCGTCAATTTCGATCCATTTGTTGTCGTCTGTGAAATCTACCGGCCTTTCACTGATAGCTGTTATACAACCGTCTTTCCTCAGGATGGTCTTCATCTTCAATTTCCACAATGAGAAATTTCTCCCATTAAATTTTTCAATATCAAATTTCGTTGTCATAGCTTCTATTACGGATAGCTCCCACTATTTCACTATCGTGAATAGTTCTCTGGAACCTTCAAAGAATGGGTAATATATTCTTATTTTCTTATGTTGGAAGATCCACCTTTTGGTGGCAACCAAAAAGACAATAAGCAGATATTATACACTCAAATCTGGCTCGGATATCAATTGTTGCGGAAGACGGCTATCGAATAAAGCAAAATCACAACTGATAATTTGAGAAAATAAAAATGAAGATAAAAAAGACACAAAATTTACGTGGAAAACCCCTAAATAATATAGGGTAAAAACCACGAGCAACGGTAGAAGAATTTCACTATGAGAAAATAGGAATTACAACTTCTCTCAATATACCAATGAGAAAACAATGATAATTCTCTCTTGATAAAAAGGAGAAAAAACTCTCAAGAAACTCTCTAAATTCTCTCTAGTATTGGAAGAAAGCTAGAATGCTTTGGGATGGTTTTGAAGCTAAATGAGCTATGGTATTTATAGTCGAAGCTTTAAGGACTAATCTTGAAAATACCCTAAATTACAATGACTAAATGTGAGATTTTGCCATGTCACTTTTCAACCATTATTAGTGCCAACTATGAACCATTATTGTTGCCAACTTACAATGCATTATGAACCATTATTATGCGTTATACAACTATTATTAGTTGTATGACAACTAATAATTTTGCATGACAACTAATACAAACCTGCCACAAGAAAAGCATACCAACGGAAGATTTTCGTATTCGACTACTTGAATCTTATTCCCGACAACGACCAGAGACATGAGAGGTTTCTTAAGGTCGACGTAGACTGTTATTCTGGAAAACCTCATTTTGTTGCTAGTTGCACTATGAAAATCAAGCTTGGCTACCTTACCAACTAAATTCCCAATTTCGTACAAAATTTTCCTCTTATACATATATTCTGGTAATCCTGGAAAACGAATCCAAACAATCATGTTTGTACGATATTGTTGTGAAGTTCGGAAGTCCATCGTCCATGGTTGAACTGTTAAATATTGGCCATAGATAATCCACGGCCCCTCGGCAAGAACTTTCTCATAATCCTCATCATTTTGGAATCGAGCCAAGAAATAGCCATTCTCCAAATCCATCAAAGTGAAGGGCCGAGATGGTTTCCAGATGGCGTATGTTTTATTAGCAAGAGCGTGCACACCTGTATTACGGCCAAGAAGCTTGAGCACCACCGTTCTCGCTGTTTGATTCCATAAGTTTATAAGCATGATCTGAGAATTGAATCGAAGGCATGCCAAATTGGGTAACCATAATGAAATCTTCATCCGAGATGTCGATATCATCTTCCTCTGTGTTATGATTTGCAGTTTGAATGGACGCCTTTCCTCCTTTCCCTGCTGGGGCCGAAGCATAAGACTGTTGCGGTTCCACTGGCATCTCTCCAACGACATCTACTAGCATTACTTTAGTCGTTTCTACTTCCAACGCTGGATTCACTCCTTGATCCGGCTCAAGATCCTTGAATCTCACCTTCTTTGTATTGTCAGAATTAGGCGGGGGCCGCCGAGAGGCTATCGGAGAGTCAGTACCATCGAGAGAATAAATTTTAGTATTACACTTCCGAGCCCATATAATTTCAAGTCCACGGTTCGAAATGTACATTTTGTTAGCCACATTTTTCTTACAACGATATATTGATAATTTAATTAGATATGTTATGTAACACAAATATCTTTAAAATAAAAAAAAATATATTAGAAATATATATAAGCATGTTATTTACTTTTTCAAAAAATATATAAAAGAATAAACCTTCTACCATTTATTTTTAAAATGGTTGGTGAATCACTTACTATGATAGTGTGATATAAGTGAAAGTTCCAAGATGATAATCCTTTTTCATACTTTCTTTTCATTTTTCCTCCCCACTTCAATCTAAACATAGGGTATTAAGCAAATTTAGAAATAAACTTCTAAAAAAATAGTTTATTCATAATTAGATCAGATTATCACAGATAAAAACAACTATTTCGGGGAAAAAAGAAATAATAACAACAACAACATCAACAAATAAATAATTAAAGTCCCACATAAAAAACGATAGAAAGATTTATTTTTCCTCGTTGACCTGATCAAATTTTGCATAGTAACATGAAACTTGTCCAACAACTCCAACATACATCAAGGACACTTGCGAATATTGTTGTGTGTTTTTAAGTTGGCATAGCAAGGGCAGGCTTCATGGTTGCCGGCGGTCCCCGGCGGAACACACTTGCACCGAGCACAGCAACTCCCACACGACCTTTTGCACAGATTTGGCCTCTTCGACAGTCTGCATCTTCCTTCACATGCCACTCCACAATCTGAATAAAACAACACCAGCAAATTATAATGCCAATTCAATCAAGTTCCATTCAGTAAACTTTATTTTATGGTATATTTACCGATTGGTTGTGCCAGTGGTGACGGCGTTGGAGCTCCATCAAAGCTCATCATCTGCACACACACAACATAACAAATCATACATACATAGATACATACATATATATAGCTAGCTAACTCTAAAAGTTTACCAGTTGTTCAGCTTGAGTGAAATGGAGCAGCAAAAGAGAGAAAAGAACCAGTGAAGCAGCTGCCATGTTTCTGGAAAGGGCCATTTGATCCGACTAAGATTTGCAAAGAGAGACTAAGATCGGTATGCAGTGAGCTATGGATCTACTTTGAGAAGAAAAAGATATATTTATATACCGGAGAAAAGGAACATCTTATCTGCAACTTGCATTAAGAAAATCTTAGAAGAAAAAAATCCCATGTGAAGTGCCAATTTGGAAGCTTTGGGGGATGTCTCGGGTCTTATACGTTATGGAGATCCATAGTCAATTATTAATGTCATTAATTTGTCTAGTTTTTCAACGGAAGCAGAGACTGGAATCAGTTCCCTATTTATTTTAACATAATATCTGAGTTACAGCTCAATTGTGATACCAGCCAGCTGGGTTTTGATCAGTGAATAGTTGGCAGTGTTGTTTCGTATGCTCTTTCTCTATGTACCAGTGTTGATCCAAATTACGAAATAAATTATTTACATTCATTTGTTTTTTATAATTAAGTTTATTTTCTTAACAACATCATGATTTCAACTCTAAATATTTTTTAAAATTTTAATATTTCTTGCTATTAGATCAAATAGTAATTGATATTTTATAATTATTAGTAATAAAAACTAGAGTAAACTACCTATATAGTCACTAAACTATAGGGATGTGGAATTAATAAGGACCAAATAAAGTAATTATATAAATTTATTTAATTGTCACAATATCAATTCTATTAAAAAAATTAGTGGTTAATGTGTTTTGATTGGAATTGTTTAAATAGTTTAGTGATATAATTGACAATTTTTTTAGTTCAATGATTAAGCTAACTTATGTTAATTTTTATTTTTATTAGAATTTTTTTTTAAATAATTTGAGGTGATTATAAAATAATATTTTTTTCATAATTTTTTTTATAGTCATTAATAAAGTACACATACCGAGCAAATGTAAATGTTCGAATTCATAATCTCTAAGGATAACAAAGCTCTTTTTTACCATTAAAATCGCTCACTGAAATATTATTAGAACATACTTATTTATTACCTAGACTCCATCAAATTATACATCCTAAGGAATAAACTAAATCACGAAGCTAAAATTTTTAAAAAATAATATATATATATTTATATTTATCAAAATCTACATAAAATAAATTATTCACACGAAAATTATATAATATTATAGTTAAAATTGAAATATCAAAACAAAATTATAGAATTTATGGAACAAATTGAATTTATGAAACTGAAAATTAAAAATAACTAAAACATACACCAAAACAATGGCTATCTTAAATAAATAGTTTGGAGTGCCTAATTTTTTCTTATAAAAAAAGTAGTCTTATTTGTTTTTTTTTCACAAAAATCAGGGATTCAATAAAAACTTGTAACATTTTAGAGTTTAATTAAAATTTTCAGAAAAAATTAAGAACTTTAATGAGAATTTTCATTAATTTGGGGGCTAACTAAAAATATTCAAAAATTGAACCAAACTAAATGCCATGGACAGTGATTTTATCATGAAAACCGACGCATGATGCTTTTCCATAATTGAAATTAAACATTAAGACAACAAGAGCATGACGGAAGTCAATTTCAGCAAACTTTAGTTTTTTTTTTTGCAATAATCAATTTTAAATTTTATTTATTTATTTATTTATTGAATAATTACTACATATAAGAGAGAGCAGAGAGGAAGGAAAATTTTACTCCTAATAAACAATGAACCTATAACCTAAAAAAAAGGTGTCAAACTTAGAACTTTTAACCCCTCCTCCACTAGATTATTAACAATTTTAAATTTTATTTAAATGTTAAATATAATAATTTGTTTATATAAATTTTGATTCATTTAATTAATACATTACTATGAAAAAGGTTGTTAGGCACATATATTAATGTATGTTAGGTGAAGTCATATGAGATGGCGGAGTCTTGTAACATTACCAATCTAAGTATCTAACCCTTCTTTAATACTTAATTCCTTATAATTGAAATATAATAAATAAAATAAAATAATTCTTATATCTATAAGAATTTGAACCAGGATCAGAGGTTTAATATTTAAAATTATTAAAATAAATATTTTTATTTATATAGATTTAAATTTGAGTCAACTTATCGCAGTTGGAAAACCTTAGTTTCAACTTTTTAAAAACAAATGGGGATAAGATTGCAACCAATTTTTTTTATCGTTTTAAAATTCTTAAGGGTTTTTTTTTTCCATTTTCACTCACAAAAACATATTTTTAAAATTTTAATTTATATGTTAATTGTGGCCGATTCATTTACCATTATTAATTAGATCGACATGGACATGGTTGTTAAACATGAAAAAAAAAGTTTAGAGGCAAACAAAGGAAAGAGAAAAAAGATAAAAATAAATAAAATAGAAGAAATTGTCGAAGATATCTAAGTTGTCAACCATCACAATTAACTAGAAGTGTTACTAAAATTGTTGTGTCAAAAGTTTGAGAAAATACCAACAATCAGTTAGTTTAAAAGAATGAAATATTAGATTTCTTAAGTAAGATTAAGAGTTTAAACTCTGATGTTTGCCCATGGAGCAAAATAGGTTGGGAAAGTCGTTATTGTCCCTGCAGTATTCGATCTTGATTAGTCGATCAATAGATCGGATACTAGTGATTAATTAAAAAAAGTTTGAGAAAATAAAAAAAATAAAAGTATATAATATTTATAATTTGAACTATTCAATCCTAATCCAGATATCAAGTGGGATATCTAAAATTAGTTGAATCAAATATAATTTAAACAAATATTCCTAAATAACTTCAACCTAAAAAGATAAGATTTAAATATTTAAACAATCAAAACCTATTAATAGACTAAATTGCACTAATTTTTCCCTTTGTAATATTTGGGGAATTGTATAACCAATCACTAGTTTTTTTGTATCTTGTTTATTTTGTTCATTCTGCTAATTGGTTTTTTTGTTGTAGTATAACTTTATTATTTTGGGTAATAAAATTCTGGTTTATCCAAAAAAAAAAACAATAGTTAAAATACAAAATATCTAAAAAATAAGAATAAAAATAGCTTATATAAAACCAAATTTACTGACTATCGTATAGTTCAAGGTTAGATATGTTGGAAATTGGAATTAAAACTATACTGTTATGGAAACTACTTGATTAAATCCTCCAATTATAGATGCGAGAAGTACAAAAGGTAGAAAGTCTGGTAGCTGACCGTGCGGTCACCCACGAGCCACGAGCTAAGAGTGGTAGTTAGAGCTGCCCCGACGGGCAGCCACACCTTCCGGTGCTATTTTTTCACCTTCCCGAGCCCTTCTTCCGTATCTATATAAACCCTCGCTTCTCTTTCTTATACGTATTCGACGGTTCTCAACTAAACATAAAAGCACTCTTTTAACGCACACACTTTTTTAAGCAAGTGATACGTTTGGTTACTCATCAAACATTAATGGCTCCTTCCACCCTCACGGCTCTTGTGGAAGAGAAAACCTTACAGGCAAGCTTCGTTCGCGATGAAGATGAGCGTCCCAAAGTGGCTTACAACCAATTCAGCGACGAAATCCCCGTGATCTCTCTCGCCGGCATCGATGATGTCGATGGCAAGAGGGCTGAGATATGCAAGAAAATCGTCGAGGCTTGTGAGGATTGGGGTGTCTTCCAGGTTGTCGGTCATGGTGTCGATGCTAAACTCATCTCCGACATGACCCGTCTTGCTAAAGAGTTCTTCGCTTTGCCTGCTGAAGACAAGCTTCGGTTCGATATGTCTGGTGGCAAGAAAGGTGGTTTCATCGTCTCCAGCCACCTTCAGGTAAATTTCCCTTCTTTATTTCCCCTGTTTTGATGAACCGATTGTGTAAAGTGTAAACGATTGATGTTTGTTTGCAGGGAGAAGTAGTACAAGATTGGCGGGAGATTGTGACGTACTTTTCATATCCATTGAAGAACAGAGACTATACACGGTGGCCTGATAAGCCTGACGGTTGGATTGAAGTGACAAAGGAGTACAGCGAGAAGCTGATGGGGTTAGCGTGCAAGCTTCTCGAGGTGTTATCGGAGGCCATGGGTTTAGAGAAGGAGGCTCTGACCAAGGCGTGTGTGGACATGGATCAGAAAGTGGTGGTTAATTTCTACCCTAAATGTCCGCAACCAGACCTCACTCTCGGACTCAAGCGCCACACCGATCCGGGGACGATCACTCTGTTGCTTCAGGATCAAGTCGGAGGGCTTCAGGCCACCAGGGACAATGGCAAGACTTGGATCACCGTTCAACCTGTTGAAGGTGCCTTTGTGGTCAACCTCGGAGATCACGGCCATGTAAGTTATGGTTTATGGTTTTATCGAAGCCATTTGAAAAAAAAATGACTGGATTTTGATTTATGTCGATCAGTATCTGAGCAATGGGAGATTCAAAAACGCTGACCACCAAGCAGTGGTGAACTCAAACTGCAGCAGATTGTCAATAGCCACATTCCAAAACCCAGCACCCGATGCAACGGTGTACCCACTGAAGATTAGAGAGGGAGAGAAACCAATCCTTGAAGAGCCCATCACCTTTGCAGAGATGTACAGGAGGAAGATGAGCATGGATCTCGAGGTTGCCAGGCTGAAGAAGCTAGCCAAGGAGAAACAACAATTGCAGGAGATGGAGCTGGAGAAATCCAAGCTCGAAGCCAAGCCCCTCGAGCAAATCCTTGCATAATCTTTGTTGTTTGTGTTACCACTGTCGCTTGTGCTCGGTGCAATTCTATTGCTTTAATATGTGGTTTCTTGTGGTGGTGTTCGTTGAATACTTTTTTATTATTTTCCGTCATGTTTTCCACATTTGGTGCTTGCTTCAGATTGAAGAAGATGATTATGGGATCATTTTAATTGGTACAGAATGTCTAAATAATCATGATGATTTTTTATGGTAAACTACATTATATACTACTAAAATTTAGATATTGTATCATTTATACTATTAAACTTTTAATTTTATCAATTATAGCAGTGACCTTTAATTTTCTTTTCAATTATATTATTAGACCATTAAATCACTAACAACCAAATCAAAATGACGTAGTTTTTGTATCCATATTTACTCTAAAAGTATGCATATTATTTTGACAGTAAACTATGTCTAACGATTGTCCTAAAAAAGTATACATACCTATATTGTATGTATCAACATTATTAATTTTGAAACATAAATTGCATAGTTTTTGTATCTATACTTACTCTAAATGTGTGAATATTGTTTCGACAGTGAACTATATCCAACGATTGTCCTAAAAAAGTATCCATACCTATATTGTATGTATCGACACCTATACTTTCAATCTTTTTTTTATGTTAACCGGTTTAGTTAACATTAAAATAAAATAGGTGTTACATATTATATTAAACTAACTACCGGTTTGTTTAAAGATATAATATTAAAGTAAACGGTAAAATATTTAAAACTTAATTGGTTAAAACAATATAGGCACTACCTATTACGTTAAACTACTTACCGGTTTGTTTAAAGATATAATATTAATGTAAACGGTAAAATATTTACAACTTAACCGGTTAAATTAAAATATGTGTTATTTATTGCGTTAAACTACCTACCGGTTTGTTTAAATGTATAATATTAATGTAAACAATAAACTATTTACAACTTAACTGGTTAAAATAAAATAAGTCTTACCTATTACGTTAAACTACTTACCAGCTTGTTTAAAGGTATAATATTAATTTACAACTTGATTGGTTAAAATAAAATAGGTGCTACCTATTTTATTAAACTACCTATCGGTTTGTTTAAAAGTTAATAATAATGTAAACAATAAAATAAAATAGCCGTTACATATTACGTTAAATTACCTACCGTTTTTTTAAAGGTATAATATTATTGTAAACGGTAAAATATTTACAACTTAACTAGTTAAAATAAAATAGGTGCTACCCATTACGTTAAACTAGCTATCGATTTGTTTTAAAGATTAATAATAATGTAAACAGTAAAATAAAATATGTGTTACCTATTACGTTAAACTAGCTACCGGTTTGTTTAAAAGATTAATAATAATGTAAACGATAAAATAAAATAGGTGCTACATATTACGTTAAACTAACTATCAATTTGTTAAAAGCTATAATAATAATGTAAATGGTAAAATATTTACAACTTAACCGTTTGAAATATTTTTTAAAATTCAAAAGTATTGATACTTGTAGGTTGATGTAGGGGTGGAGTTCATCAATTTTTTCAAAAATATCGATAAATCATATATCAATTATCAATATTTTAACATTCATAAACTTTTCAAATGCTAAAATTTCGATAACAGTCATCAAAAATCGAAAATTCTAAATTATTGATATCGGGTATTAATAATTTCCCTAAATTCGTATCGATACATATTCACGAAGTATATAATAATTTTCATACATCTACACTAAGTATCGATATTTTTACAAAAATATTTTAATGGAATTTTGTAAATAAGTAACTTTTGATCTTAATATTTCAATTTTTTTCAAATTAACAATTTTCTAAAATGATAAAATATCGAACATCATAGATAATATCGATATTTGCTCAAGTATCGACCATCAGATCATAGTAGTGTCGATATTTATTTTAAAAAGAATTTTCATCCAAAGATACGTAATATATTAAATCGCTACCAATTTCATTAAACACAACTTTAATATTCCAGATCGTAACATACTTCTTTATTTACAATAATATTATTGGGCGCAACTTAATATGTTACTATTTATTTATAACAAAATAAGTAATTAACATATTTTGTTGTCATGAGATTTCGAAGGCTCTATCAACTTAAATTTTGATAACATTTTAGGAGATACCTAATATGTTAATAATATTAATAACAAAATAAATAATTAACATATTTTGTTATCGTCGGATTTTTAATGCCCCATAAGCTTAAATTTTTGTAATATTTTAGGCGCTACCTAATATATTGATAATATTAATAACAAATTAAGTAATTAGCTTCTTTTGTTATCGTCGGATTTCTAAAGATTCATCAGCTTTAAATAGGTGTAACCTATTACGTTAAATAGGTACTACCTAAATTACTAAAATCAATATTTTTTGACCTATTAACATTTTCAGTTTTTATCATTATTATTATCAACACAAATAATATTTTCGATAACATTTTTAACTAATTATCTATTTAATCAGTCACGTTATTTTTTAATCATATTTTAACACACTAGAACCTCCCGTGCTGTCTGGCCATGAAAATCTCCACAGTTAACTTCAACACTTTAAACTTTAAAGGACACACACGCCTTTACCTTTTTTGTTTCCTTGTGTGTAAATGTTTGATTTTATCTTTCCAGTTTATTTAATTTTTAAATTCTAATTAAATTAATAAAATTATAGTTCGATCAAATTGTATATGTTTATTTAAGTTTTTATTTAAATATAATTGTTTATAATATTAATTTATTAATTAATTCTGGTTTAAACGTCTCCTTAATTATATATATATATATTCACTTATGTATAAGATTTATAATGTTATTTATTAAATAATTTTTTTATAATATTAAATAACATATTATTTTCATGTTATTTTTAGAAAGAAGAGATTATAAAAATATAGTACCGAGAGGGATATAAAGAAATTAAAAAATGGATGAGAAGAAAGAATCCGTAAAGAATTACAATAAAATAACTAAATTAAATAAAATATAAAATTGATAGACTAAATTAAAAACTAAAGAATTTTTTTATTAAAAAAGAGAATTTAAGTTAAACATATTTAACTAAAATTAAAGAAAGATGACATAACTTTAATATATAATTATTTTGAAGTTTTAAAATTTGAATTTGGAATCCGAATTATTAATTTTATGTTAAACAGTTCTAATACATTAAAATAATAAAAAAATCAGAATCGGACACTTTCGCATGCTACCACTTGGAGGAACCATCCTTCATCGTTTATATTCGTAACTGATGAGAACATTGCTTTTTGTGGGATCTCCCACACATAAGTCAAGAATGAATTCAACTCTCAAATATAAGTAGCTAATAAATGAAAATATTTTTATAGAAAAAGAAAACAATAATCATCCAATGCACTCTACAGTATTGTTGGAGGTAGAAGTTGTTTCGTAACAATGGCATAAGTTTGAGCAATTAAAAGACTTACACTAAATATTCTCAAAGTTTGAAAGATTAGTTGGGTTTTTGTACAAAAGGGAAATCAATATCTCATAAAGATTAGGAGAAATTTCTCATCTGTTCATCACAAGTACAAGAAACTTCCAAAAGTTTAGTTATATAGTAATTTGATTTGGTGAAACAAACCTGACCCAACCAACATTCTTTTCTTTGAGATATTTTCTCAAATGTGACATGTAAAGATACTGATGCAATTATTTATGAATTTTTAACAAAGAAAATGATATTAAAATTAATTCATAAGAGGTTTGAAGAGAGCAAAACTTTCGAGATAATGTTTTGAAAGAAATTAATTCACGAGCACTCCCAAGATTAATTGCTTAAATAGGGTGAAATCCACAGTGTTGGCCGTAGGTCGCCATGCACTCCGAGCGACCTACCCTTGCACAAACAGAGAGAATGAACGTGTTGCATAACACATGCACGTCCCAACACATAGGTCGTCATGCCCTCCGGGCGACCTTGTAGGTCGCCATGCACTCCGGGCGACCTACCCTCGCTCGGCTTCCCTCGGATTCCCTCGCATAGCTCGCTCGGTTACCCTCGGATGCCCTCGCATAGCTCGTTCGGATGGCCTCGGTCGGATGGCCTCGGATGCTCTCGGATGGCCTCGGATGCTCTCGAATGGCCTCGGTCGGATGGTCTCGGATGCCCAGCGTGTTGGGACGTGCAAGGCACATGCAATCTCTTGTAGCTCGCCGGGAAGACATGGCGACCTAGTAGGTCGCCCGGAAGGCATGGCGACCTACGGCCAACACTGTAGATTTCACCTTATTTAAGCAATTAATCTTGAGAGTGCTTTATCTCGTGAATTAATTTTTTTCAGAACATTATCTGTAAAGTTTTGCATGGAGCTTGAATTAATTTACCTTATTTTTTGCACTGTCATGTTTGTGCTGCTGAGTCAGAGTGGCCCCAATCCAATTTCCAAGTTGTATCATCATGTGAGCCACATCTTCCTACCTCTTTGGGGTTGGTTACTATTGCGTGTCGCCTCCATGTCTCCATGGCCATTGGCTACTAAAAGCAACTACTTTTATATGTATTGATGATGAAATTTAAACCCTAAATAAATAAAGGGTAAGCTATTACTTTATTATTTTTTAAAATTATATAATGTGTTTATTTTAAATTTTAATTTGATATCACGTTGTTAAATATTTAATGATGATGTTAATATATCATCATAAGATAATATCACGTTATTATTGAAAAAATTTAAAATATTTCTATATCAACAGTTTTAAAAAAAATCAATAATGAATACTAAATTAAAACTCAAATTAAATATTTAAATATAATTTATAAAAAAATTTGGGTATCAAAACGAAACAAAAATAATAATTTAAGAATTAAAAATTTAGTTTATCCATATATAAATGACAACAACATTTCTCAATTGATTCCTACAATTCAACCCTCTCTCGTCTCCTTCAATTAAGAAAAAAAAATATTTTTTTCCAAAACGAAATTACAACAGCTGCAGAAACAAACCATCGTGAAAGCCATCACTACATAAACAAATGCTATATAAACAAGAAGATGAAAACGCGTTGGACCTTGTAAATCTAGTCTGCCATGAACGGCGATTGACCCTTTACAGCCGAAAGGCCAAAATCCCCACAGCAATTAACTCCGCTAATTTTGCTTTCCATTTAGTCGCTCGTCAAGCTTTTTGCTATAAGATTCGGAAGGCCAAAAACCCATTAAACATCAACCCTTTTCTCTTCGAGCTGGTTTATTTATTCATTGACCCCATACATATGGGAAAAAAGGGACAGCCATATTTTGGCTTTGTTGTTGTGATGGCGGATATGGTGAAGCAAATATTGGCAAGGCCAATTCAGTTAGCAGACCAAGTAGCGAAAGCGGCGGATGAGGCAAGTTCGTTCAAGCAGGAGTGTTTGGAGCTTAAGTCGAAGACAGAGAAACTTGCTGGCTTGTTTCGACAAGCGGCGCGTGCGAGTTCCGACCTTTACGAACGCCCTACGCGCCACATACTCGATGATACCGAACAGGTCCTTGATAAAGCTCTATCTTTGGTCTTCAAATGCCGCGCCAACGGCTTCATGAAGCGCGTGTTCACAATCATCCCTGCTGCCGCGTTCCGTAAAATGTATTCTCAGCTCGAGAATTCAATCGGAGATGTTTCCTGGCTTCTCCGTGTTTCGGCCTCCGTCGACGATCGCGACGATGAGTACTTAGGACTTCCTCCGATCGCTGCGAACGAGCCGATTTTATGCTTAATTTGGGAACAAATTGCGATTCTTTACACCGGTTCACTTGACGACCGGTCTGTCGCGGCTGCTTCGCTTGTTTCGCTAGCCAGAGACAATGACCGGTATGGCAAACTGATTATCGAAGAAGGAGGCGTTGGACCGTTATTGAAATTAGTCAAAGAAGGGAAAATGGAAGGTCAAGAAAACGCCGCTAGAGCAATTGGCCTTCTGGGTCGGGACCCGGAATGCGTGGAGCACTTGATCCACGCTGGTGTTTGCACAGTGTTTGCGAAAATCCTCAAAGAAGGTCCGATGAAAGTTCAGGCCTTGACGGCCTGGGCGGTGTCGGAGCTGGCTGCTAATTACCCAAAATGTCAAGACTTGTTCGTTCAACATAACATAATCCGGTTACTCGTCAGTCATTTGGCGTTTGAAACCATTCAAGAACACAGCAAATACGCAGTTGCTAGTAACATGGCGACGTCGATCCACGCGGTGATTATGGCGAGCAGTAATAATTCGAACACGAATAATGTGAAGAATGTTGTCAATGACGATCACCGGAATCTGATTCCGCATCCAATGGGGAAGCAAATGCCAAATCAGATGCATAATGTGGTTGCCAATACCATGACAATGAACGGAGTGGTGCAAGCACCACGGAAGCCGGGTAATAATCATGTTAGGAGTAACAGTCAGGGCAATGCCAAGCAATTTCATCAAGTTTATCATCAACAACAACAGCAGCAGAATGGTTCAATGTCCGGGGCGAATATGAAGGGAAGGGAAGCAGAAGATATTGCTACCAAGGCTTGTATGAAGGCAATGGCAGCTAGAGCTATATGGCATCTAGCCAAGGGGAATTCGATTATCTGTCTGAGTATCACCGAGTCTAGAGCACTGCTATGTTTTGCTGTCTTATTAGAAAAAGGAACCAAACAAGTACGGTTTAATTCGGCTATGGCGTTGATGGAGATTACAGCTGTGGCAGAACAGGATACTGATTTGAGAAGGTCTGCGTTTAAGCCGAACTCTCATGCTTGTAAGCTCGTTGTGGATCAGCTGTTCAAGATAATCGAGAAGGCCGATTCAGAATTGTTGATTCCTTGTATCAAGGCCATTGGTAATCTGGCGAGGACGTTTCGAGCAACAGAAACGAGGATGATTTCCCCATTGGTTAAACTTCTCGACGAAAGGGAAGCCGAAATTTCCATTGAGGCTGCCATTGCTCTAACCAAATTCGCTTGCACCAATAACTACCTACACCTTGATCACTCCAAGTCGATCATTAGTGCAGGAGGTGCAAATCGTTTGATTCAACTAGTGTATTTCGGGGAACAAATTGTTCAGCACTCAGCATTAGTTCTTCTATGCTACATTGCCCTCCACGTACCAGATAGCGAAGAACTTGCCGAAGCTGAAGTGTTCACGGTGCTGGAATGGGCATCCAAGCAATCCAACATGACCCAGGACGAAACAGTGGGCAGAATTCTACCAGAAGCCAAAAGTAGATTGGAGCTGTATCAGTCTTGAGATTCAAGGGGCTTTCATTGATTCGATCGCTTTTCCCTTCATTTTCTTTCGGGTTCATCATTCTAATGCGGTGTACATACAGTTAGCAGTCTTCTTCCACGGTGGATCATAGTTGCATTGCATGGCTTCTATAAGTTGAAGTTGACCTGGAATTTTTGAAGTGGTTTCTAACCACATAAAAGAATGATTCAGCCTCATGAACGAGGGGGTTGGTCCCTTTCAAACTACTTGCTCTAACTTTTATTTGGTTATGCCATCAGATTCCAGCAGCAAACTAGAAACGGCCTGCCTAGGTTCTCACCTACAAGGAATGAGTCTGGTTCCGCCATGCATTTTCTAACCTCCACTGCACATCTGACTACATTTATATCTCTTGCAGCAAGTGGTTTATGAACAAATAAAAGTTGGTAAAATATGTGCTCACGTCCTTTTCTTCCCCCCCCCCCCCTTCTCTCTCCCTATTTCTACTGTATTATTCAAAATGCTTTCCTCACTCAAATTCCTGCCAATTTATTGGACAACCATTTATCTTTTCATCCTTTGGTTAAACCTAAGGAAAATGGAAGGAAAAAGTAGGTCTAATTTTATCAACACTCCTTGTTTTATGCTTATGTTGTGGATTTAGACAATGCATTATAATTTAGTAAATTTTAGTCCCTTGTTCTTTTCTAAATTCGAAATTCTATCATGAATCAGAGTGTACAGAGACAATAGAACTAAATTACATAGACTAAAAGTTATTAAATTGGAGAATATAAATTGAGTCTACACCATAGGCCTAATGGATGAACTACTAGCTGAATTTCACTTAGTAGTTTCAATAGTTACTATTTGGACCGGGACCTATATTTCAAAATTATATAGACTAAATAAGATCAAAGTATAATATAGGAACTACATTCAAAACCCACGCCTAATAGTATAGAAACTAATAGTAAAATTTCCCGAGAAAAATGAAAAAAATCTCAGTGATATTCTGAAAACCTGCGCATAATAGTATAGGTCAAATTTGCTCATTTTCAAAAACGAATTAACAACTTCAAGGGAAGAATTGTGAATATACATGTCAAACCCACTTATAAGAAAGACGGTGTTGTTCTCCTAAGTTTTGGATTCAAATAACAATGTTTGTTGGGTGTATATATGTTATCACAAACTAAAAAGGATTTTAAACAAATATTACCTTATAATCTCTCTCGAAGATTATTTAAAAAATATATCAAAATACTTATCTCGTACAGACTGAGATGGTTGGGTACTGAAAGCAAAATTCAACTTCTAAATTGGAATGAAAAATGTGTCCACGGATTGCTTGGGTGTACAAAAATAAATTAACCCAAAGTCATCTTTGGACCCTGTTTCATCTTCTATTTCATATTGTATTTTTTATTTTACAAATTTAATCTCTATTTAAACTGTTAACGGATAGTCGAAAATGTGAGTATTTCATAGAAAGAAATGTGTGTACATATAGATGGTGTGTGAGAGTTGTGCATTTGCACATAGACTTATCCTAGTAGAGGCATCAAATCTCCTCCACCCAATTCAACATCCAAACTCAAACGAACAGAGAAAATGTGATGAATTGAGATAATTTAGGGAATTAGAGAAGAAGAAAGCTTAGAGAAAAGAGTAGAATAGAGATACAGAAATATGATTTCATTCAAAATATGCTTGATTGTTCTTTACACAGTACTTCGTTTTATTTGTTTACAAGGTACCAACAAATCTAATTAAATGCCAGTTGTAGATTCTTGAATAACCGTTTTGTTATTTCCTCAGATATTGGGCCACCAACTGGGTTGACTGCTTGCTCGTGGACTCAGCTCTCCTAATGGGTAATTCGCTCCTCGTGCTCCTCACGTTATCATTAATCAGGTAACTCATCCCCAATTCACTATCAATCCCTAACCCTTGATTTCCATTTCCCCTAATTTCCTCTTCGTGTCCTTCGCTTCTTCTCTATTTTCTACCGATCGTGACAATACCCACCGCTGGAGACGATCCTTGTCCCCAAGGATCAAAGCCTGGAAACTAGCCTCGAAGGACAGTATAATCCTCCCAAGTATCATGTATTTCGTCAAGGTTTGTCCATCGCATCAACAACTGAGTAACAGGTCTGTTTTGGCAATTAATGATTCGCCATCTCAAAATTTTATATGGTTCTATTCGAAACTGATCGTCTGTATCCATGGTAGGAAGATCCGTAGAGGAAACGACAGAGTCTCCAATATGTTTCTTCAGAAGACTTACATGAAAGACATGATGCAACCTCGATGTCTCAGGTAAGCTCAATCGATAGGCAACTTCCCCGACTCTCACTGTAATCTTATATAGCCCATAGAATTTCACTGCTAATTTTAAATTCTTTCGCAGGGCTAGTGTCGTCTGGCGATAAGGTTGCAGCTTCAGGCAAACAGAATCCCCAACTTCAAAAACTCCTTCGAATATGTGCTTGTCTGCTTTTTGTGATAATGCTAAAAAAATGGTTGTATTTGGTAAATTTATCAACTACTACCAGAATGCAATTCTTTCGCAAGGATTTAGGTAAAACTTCTATAAAATCCATAGTGATTACCTCCCAAGCCTGCTGAGGAATAGGTAATGGCTGTAAAAGTCCTGGTTTAGGAACATGCTCTACTTTAGTCTGTTGACATACAGAACAAGACCTGATATAAGTTGCCACCATAGATTTCAACTTGGGCCAGTAGAAATAAGCTCTAATCCTCTGATAAGTAGCCTGAATTCCTGAATGACCCCCATGAGGTGAATCATGTAGGGTTTGAAGAATCTGTAATCTTAGAGTTCTAACAACCCCAATATATACTCTATCCTTAAATCTAAAGATACCTCTAGAGTATTTCCATCTAGAATCTGCATTATAATTGATAATTAATACAAAAATCCATTCAGTAGCTACTGAATCTTCCTTATAGCTTTCCTCAATCTGCTGAACCCAACTAGGAACAATCAAGGTAGTACCCATTGCAAAACAGTGAGCTTGATCTTCCCAATGTCTAGAGAGTGCATCAGCTACTATGTTGGACTTACATTTTCTATATTGAATAGTATAATCCAAGCCCAATAATTTAGTTAACCCCCTCTTTTGAATGGAAGTGGTTAACTTCTGCTCCAACAGATATTTGAGAGGTTCATGATCTATTTTAATTATAAAAGGAGTGATCTCTAGATAATGCTTCCATTTAGAGACTGCTAGTAGAATAGCCAATTACTCTCTTTTATATATGGAGAGGTCATCATGTCTAGGGCTAAGAGCCTTACTAAAGTAGGCAATAGGTCTGCCATCCTGAGTTAAAATTGCCCCAATGCCTTCTGAACTGGCATCTGTTTCCAAATAGAACTACTTACCAAAATCTGGTAAAACTAGGACTGGAGCAACACACATGGCTTGCTTCAAGTCTTCAAAAGCATGTAAAGCTTCACTGCTCTATTTAAAATTATCCTTCTTAAGCATTTGTGTCAAGGATTTATTGATTGTTCCATAATCCCTTATAAATCGTCTGTAATATCCTGTTAATCCCAAAAATCCACGCAAAGACTTTAAAGATTTAGGAATAGGCCAATTCCTCATAGCCTCCACCTTTGTAGGATCAGTTGAAACTCCAGCAGCTGATATAATATGACCCAAATACTCTACCTGAGTCTGTCCAAAGAAACATTTGGACATCTTGGCAAATAACTGGTTAGTTTGTAATATCTCCAAAACCAATTCTAAATGAGTAATATGATCCTTCATAGAGGTGTTGTAGACTAGGATATCATCAAAAAATACCAAGACAAATTTTCTAAGAAATGAACTAAACAAGTCATTCATTAGAGCTTGAAATGTAGCAGGAGCATTAGTAAGCCCAAAAGGCATTACCTTGAATTCATAATGACCCTGATGAGTTCTGAAAGCTGTCTTGTAAATATCCTCAGCCTTAATTCTGATTTGCCAATAACCAGACCTGAGGTCAATCTTTGAAAAGTAAACTGCTCTATGTAATTCATCTAAGAGGTCCTCCACAATAGGAATATGAAACTTGTCCTTCACAATCATACTATTTAGCTTTCTGTAATCAACACAGAATCTCCAAGTCCCATCCTTCTTCTTTATAAGAAAACAATGAGAAGCAAAAGGACTTTTGCTAGGTTGAATAATAGAAGAGGATAGCATGATAGCTATCTGTTTTTCCACTTCCTCTTTCTAATTATGTGGAAATCTATAAGGTCTTAAATTTATAGGAACAAACTCAGGTTTTAGAGGAATTGCATGATCATGATTCCTTGTAGGTGGTAGACTGGTAGGTTCAGCAAAAATAGACTGATATTTGTATAAGAGATGTTGTAGAGCTGCAGGAACAGTCTTTGAATTCTCATACATAGATAACAATACCATATGGCCCAAAATAGCAGAATCAGAGGCTGTCATTTTTAACAGGGTAGCCCCTAAAATTTATTGCAAAATATTTTAGGGTTGCTGGCCATGTATAATAATGTTTTCATCTTGATGGACAAAACTGAGAGTCAATTTATTGAAGTCCATCAAAATTGGACTGAATAACTTCATCCAATCAACCCCTAACACCATATCACTGCCACCCAATTTTAGGAGTCTAAAGTCATGAACAAAATAATGTCATTGCATTTGTCATTCAACCTTATTACACCTAGTTGAACTATAAAGTTGATGTCCATTAGCCACTGTAATAACCAAAGGATATGGTGTATTTACTAGAATACCAGCATCAGCCCACTGAGGTGTTAGGAAACTGTGGGTACTACCACTGTCAATCAAAATATTCAAGGGTCTCCCTTGAATAGTGCCCTGAATCCTTAATGTATTATGGACAATACACCCAGTGATAGCATTCATTGATATTTCTAGGCTCTCCCCCCCCTGTAGATTATGTTGTTCCATATCAGTAGGTAAAATTTCTAGAGGTATAACAATGTCATCCTCAATCATCATATTCAACTGTTTAACCTTACACTAATGGCCTGGACTAAATTTTTCACCACACTTAAAGCATAAATTATTCTGTCTTCTGTAGTCTATCAGGTTCTATTTTTGTGGAGTATTGGTTGCATTCTTCTGTGGTAATGTCAGCTGGTTAGGCTTAGAACCAGATAGAGG